ATTTCAGTATCTGGACCCACAGATGACGTGAGGGTTACATCTCTGGACTCCCATGTAATTGACTGTAGTTTGTGTCCTGGACCCAGTGGCTTAAAACTCATGCCGGGTGCGTGTGCATGCATGCCCAAGATCCCAAGAGGAGAATGGAGAAGGGATTACATTACAGCATGGTCATCCCCCTGTGGGATGATTTCTTGCTTTCTATCTCTGTCTCTCCAGCAAGCACACGTGGCTTATACCAAAAAAAAGAAAAAAATTCTCTCTTAAAAAATAAAAAAACTCAGTGTCTGTTAAGGAAGAATTATTGGAACACAACCTTGTTCATTCATTTCCATATTGTTTATTACTGCTTTGTCCATCAGCAAAGTGGAATAGTTGTGGTAGAGACTGTGTGGTCCACAAAACCATATGGTAAATATCTGGCACTTTACAGATAAGGCTTGCTAACCCCCTTTCTTGTAGAGATGTCTTGTCTCTGTCTCTTAGCCCATAGTTAGCACCAACAGTTTGCTGATGAATAATTAACTTTTAATTCATATTTAAGAATATTTAATTTTTAGTGTTTAAGAACTTCATTAGTAAGGGTTTGGTATGAATTTTTTTCCTTTCTTTTTAAAAAGTTTTGCTGGAGACAGAAGAAAGGGAATGTGAAAATCACCCCCCATAGGGAATGGCCATAGCACCTGTCCTTCTTCCTCATCACTTCCGCCTTTCCACATTCTGAGCATGCATCTATATGCAGCCAGCATGCCTTTCAAGCCACTGGGTCTGGGATTCGAACCATGGGTTTGTCCACGTGGTATGTGGATTGTAGCCTCTTCAATCACTATGCCATGGGCTGAGCCAGGTTTTTACTTATTTATTTTTTTTCATGATTTCTAAAAGGATTCTTTAAAACTATGGTTTTAGAAGACTTTCATATATCAGATTATTCATACTTCTGATCTATTTGGCTCTAAGGCTCAAAAATAGATATAGAGTGATAGTCCTGCTACAAATATAATTGAATTAGGAAATAAGCATCATGCCAGGACTTGATGTTGGTAAGTGGGATGGATAATGTTAGGTGTCCACTTGGTTAGGCTGTGGTGCCTAGCTGTTTGGTCAAGCATTCCTCTACTTGTTGCTGTGAAAGTATTTCGTAGATGTGACTAACATGTATAATTAGTTGACATGTATAATCAGGTTACTCTCTATAATGTTGGACCTTATCCAATCAGAAGACCTTAAAAGAAAAGACCAGGGTTTCTTGAGGAAGGGATTCTGCTTGCTTTTAGCTCACTGAGCTGGCTTAGCGATGTCTTCTCTTGGGGCCCGTCTAAGGCACTGCACTTCCATGTTGTCGACTGTGGTTGAGTCCCAAACCTGGTGGCTTGCTTTCTCACTCTCCCTCTCTCTCACTTCCTTTCTCTCTCTGTGTGTCTCTTCAATCAAATTAAATAATAATAATAAATGAAATGAAATAAATTATTCTAAAAGAAAGAAAGAAAGAAAAAGAATTGTCTTCTCTTTGCTTTTAGGTTTACTATTCTTTCCATGAGGGAGGGGAATAGGGAAAAGAGGAGAGGAGAGGGTGCATCCCTATGGAGTCCTCATGCTGCAGTCCAACCCCCAGCTTTAACCAGCCAGGATCATAGGTGCACACACACACACACACACACACACACACACCTGGTGTGCACAGGTGGACCTCAGGGCATAAGCCTAGGATCTTTCCATATGATCTGAGCATTTCCACTGCAGTGCTGTGGGGCTGGCCTCTTCTATAGGTTTTGGATTTGCTAGTTATAGCAATCAGGTGGGAAAACTCTTTAAAATCTTTCTGTCTCTCTGTCTTACTTTCTCTTGATAGGTAGATAATTGTAGATACATTTGCGATTGGTTCTGGAAACTCTAGAGGACTCTGAATGATACGCTGTCTGCTCTGATGTGAGGGGCCATCTTCACTCTTGGTGGCAGGAGGCAGCGAGGATGCTAAGCACGGTCCTCTCACCCATTCTGGCATCATCCGTCCATTTTTCCCTTCTCACCTCCTTCAGGATTTCTTTTACAGTTCGTGAAAGGAAATGTGTTGCGTTTGGACACACAGTCAGAAAGAAGCTCACATGTGGAAGGGCAGAGGGCTTTTGCTTAGTGTAAGATTGCTGAAAGTTGTGAGAGGGCTGTGAGGATGATAAAAATGAAACAGAAGCAAATGGGTCTAGTGATAAGGAGCAGTTAAACTGAAAGAGACTAGATACACTTCTGGGTGGCAGAATTTGTGGCAGTTTTTTCCTTCACCTTCTCCTTCTGAAAACAGAAGTTTTTGTGTGTACGAACAACAAAGGAGACCATGAGTCCACATAAGTCCTTAGCTGGTTCTGTTATGCTGCAGGTAGTATCTTTTATTCTCAAGTTTTGCCTCTTTGGCAAAAATAAACGCTCACTGTTTAGACATTTTGCTTGTATCTGTACATATAAAAGTTTTATATATCAGTAAGTGTAAAATTTATCTATTTTTTACATATGAAAAATTACATATTTGGGTAGAAGATTTGTTTTTGTAAGAGATGATTTAAAAAAAAAATTGAAAACTTATTTATTTATTTTCGGTGTATTATAGGGCTTGTGTACTCTCCAGAGCATGACACAGAGAGAAAGTGAGAAGTCACCCTCCCCATGGGGAATGGTTACACTTTAGTCCTTTCTCTTCCATTCTCCGGTTGGGATTTTGGGCATGCATGCACGTGCCTGGCATGGTTTCAAGTCATCAGGACTCAAACTGCCATGTCAGCCATTTGGGATCTAGCTACCTTCACTACCACAGCGCCTGCTGGCCCTTATAATCTATGTCTATTTAAATTTATTTGGTATTATTAGTATATTTTAATTTGACCAGAGAGAGACAGATGGAGAGAGAAAGGGAAAGTGGGAAAGCAATCTGCCAGATCCAGAACTTGAACTATGGTCAACCATGTGGGAGTCCAGCACCTTAACCACCCCCTCAACTGCTGGTCCCCCTTTTTAACTATTTTAAAACAGTTTATCAGGCCTTTACACTGGGCTATAGAAGATGTATTTTTTCACATTTTGATTCTTCCCAACTGGGTGTTACACTGTCACATTGCTCCAGAAGTTGGTAGATCCATTATTTAATTGAAGATACAGTATTTTTTCTGCTCCACAATCCCTCCTCTACTACCTGTTTATGCTGTGCTATGGTTAAGATAATGTTTTTTTTTAATTTTTTTAAATTTTTTTTTTGTCCAATAGGATCATATATTGTAATTTGGCCTCTAATGTAAGAGGAAGCTCCGCTTTCAATGTTGGTGGGCACCTGGACAGACAAAATTGGCAAGTCAGTGGACTGAGGAAGACCTGTCTCCATTGTGGGCAGACACCACCCAGTGGGCTGGAAGTGTGGGAAGGACGGAAGAAGTGGAGAAATCTGTTTCCTCTTCTCTCTCTCCCATCTCTATGCACGTGACTGCTGACCTACCTCTTCTCTTGGCCATGTTGTGATGTGGCACCAGAGGCTGTCAGATGTTCGCTTTGTGCTCTTGGACATTCAGCCCCCAGAATCATGGGCCAAACAGTCCTCTATCCTTTATAAATCACCAAGTCTCGGGCATTTCTGTTTAGCAACACAGTAACAGCTTAATACCTGCTGTATCATCTATTGGTTCAATCTTTATGTAGCATATTACTCAAGTATTAAGCGTGTTTTTAAAAAGCCATTATAACTTTGAGTTTTATAGGTCATAGCTATTATACATGTGTTATGCCTTTCTCTGGTGTTTTATAAATACAGTAACAAGAGAATTTGAACATAGAATAATAGCTTCTCGCTCAGAATGCCATTTTACTCTAAATAGCTTAAGTTTCATATTCTTTTCATTCTGCTAAAGATTTTTTTTAAAACTTTATTCATTGTCATTATTTTATTTTATATTTTGGAAGTTGAGCGGAGAGAGAATGAAAGTGAGAAAGCAAGCTGCCAGGTCAAGGACTTGAACTGTTGTCAGCCATGTGGGAGTCCAGCCACCTTAACCACCACATCACCTGCAGGCCCCTCTGCTAAAGATTTTAATGGTTCCTCTTTTTCTCTGTGAATTCTAGTAGACTAGTTAATGATGTTCAAGCTATTTTAGCAACAGTTCTGTCAAAAGGTCCTCAGGATATAGAGAGGTGGAAAGATGCGGGTCATTAATCTCAAGTTGCTCCCACTCTCCTAAAGAGACAGGCTTGGAAACAGAATGTGTGATGAGGGGAACAATAAAAGTCTATTCATGGGACAGAGCTTGCCCAGAGAAGGGAGGGATTCATTCATTCTCTTGGGGGCTGGAAGGTATCACAGAGAAGGTCACATTCCAGTTGGACTTTGGAGAAACTGTAAGTGACTTCCATGAGAAGAGATCAGTATGTAGGACGGAGATGTATTAGTATCTAGAATATGCTATTACGTTTTTTTTTTTTTTTTTGAGAGTTTTTTTGCTATAGGGCATGTGCGCTCACCAGATAGACAGAGAGAGACATAGAGATAGAAAGCAAGAAATCACCCCTCAGGGGTGATGGCCACGCCACAATCCCTTTTCCTCCATTCTCCTCTTGGGATCTTGGGCACACACACACACACACACACACACGCCCGGCGTGAGTTTTAAGCCACCAGGTCCGGGACACGAACAGTGGTCGACTACGTGGGAGTCCAGCAACATAGCCATTATGCTAACTGCTGGTTCCCAAGAATATGCTATTACTACACAAGCTTAAATACATGCATTTAGGTTTAGTAAACCTGTTGACCTACGTTCCATGACCGTATTATAGAAATTTTAAGCATGATATAATTTGTAAAAACGACTAATCACTGAGGTCCTTGGTGTGTATGCTAATATTGACGATTAGTAAATATTTGTAAGCTGCTAAGTAAGTGCCTCAAACATGTTCTGAATGTTATATAAACTGACATTTTCCCCTTTTCTCTTTTCCTTGCCTCCACCCCTTGGTGGTTTCTGCAGTTGGTTAGTCTGTTGCTGATTGGAATTGCTGCATGGGGCATTGGCTTTGGGCTGATTTCCAGTCTCCGGGTCGTCGGCGTGGTCATTGCAGTCGGCATCTTCTTGTTCCTGATTGCATTAGTGGGGCTGATCGGCGCTGTCAAACACCATCAGGTGTTGCTATTTTTTGTATCCTTAAAAAAAAAAGATTTGTTTTAATTCTAACTGGGTTAAATTTTTTTGATGAATTTCTGTTTTAATAGATAGAACACATTTTATATTATCAATAGGAAATTAATTTCAAAAAAAGCAACTTTTGCAACATCCTAGGCATATTTATTCTAACAGTATTAGGAATGTGAACTTTTTTTTTTAAAAAAAGAATGATTTATTTTAATATAATTTATTATGATTATTTTTAAATATGTTTTAGGGCACGTGCACTCACCAGAGATGGATGGGGGTGGTGGTGGGACAAGTGAGAAAACAGACCGCCAGGTCCAGGACTTGAACCGCATTTGGCCAGCACCTTAACCACCATGCCACCTGTTGGCTCTCTATAATGTTTCTTAAGGTACAATTATACTTATTTCCAATGTTACATAGGTAAGAATTTTTATTTTATTTTGAATGAAATTGTAAGATGCCTGTTTTTAAGCAATCACCATTATTAGTATTTTTCTACTCATCCATGAGCTTACCCTCAGGGGTGATGGCCACACCACAATCCCTTTTCCTCCATTCTCCTCTTGGGATCTTGGGCACACACACACACACACACACACACACACGCCCGGCGTGAGTTTTAAGCCACCAGGTCCGGGACACGAACAGTGGTCGACTACGTGGGAGTCCAGCAACATAGCCATTATGCTAACTGCTGGTTCCCAAGAATATGCTATTACTACACAAGCTTAAATACATGCATTTAGGTTTAGTAAACCTGTTGACCTACGTTCCATGACCGTATTATAGAAATTTTAAGCATGATATAATTTGTAAAAACGACTAATCACTGAGGTCCTTGGTGTGTATGCTAATATTGACGATTAGTAAATATTTGTAAGCTGCTAAGTAAGTGCCTCAAACATGTTCTGAATGTTATATAAACTGACATTTTCCCCTTTTCTCTTTTCCTTGCCTCCACCCCTTGGTGGTTTCTGCAGTTGGTTAGTCTGTTGCTGATTGGAATTGCTGCATGGGGCATTGGCTTTGGGCTGATTTCCAGTCTCCGGGTCGTCGGCGTGGTCATTGCAGTCGGCATCTTCTTGTTCCTGATTGCATTAGTGGGGCTGATCGGCGCTGTCAAACACCATCAGGTGTTGCTATTTTTTGTATCCTTAAAAAAAAAAGATTTGTTTTAATTCTAACTGGGTTAAATTTTTTTGATGAATTTCTGTTTTAATAGATAGAACACATTTTATATTATCAATAGGAAATTAATTTCAAAAAAAGCAACTTTTGCAACATCCTAGGCATATTTATTCTAACAGTATTAGGAATGTTTACTTTTTTTTTTAAAAAAAGAATGATTTATTTTAATATAATTTATTATGATTATTTTTAAATATGTTTTAGGGCACGTGCACTCACCAGAGATGGATGGGGGTGGTGGTGGGACAAGTGAGAAAACAGACCGCCAGGTCCAGGACTTGAACCGCATTTGGCCAGCACCTTAACCACCATGCCACCTGTTGGCTCTCTATAATGTTTCTTAAGGTACAATTATACTTATTTCCAATGTTACATAGGTAAGAATTTTTATTTTATTTTGAATGAAATTGTAAGATGCCTGTTTTTAAGCAATCACCATTATTAGTATTTTTCTACTCATCCATGAGCTTATGGCTGCAGTGTATTATCAGAATTATAATTAAAATAATAAAAATGTGTATCCTTTTTGAACTTAGTCTCTAAGTATCATTTTTTAAAAAATTTTTAATTTTTTAAGCTTTTGCATTGGTGTGTGCATTTGTCAGAGAGAAACAGAGAGAGGGAAAGTGAGAAATCACCACCCCCCAGGAGGGATGGCCATGCTGCAATCCCTTCTCCTCTCCAAATGCATGCACATGCATCTGGGTGTGAATTTCAAGCTGCTGGGTCCAGAACTTGAACTGCGGTCGGCCACTAGGAGTCCAGTGCCTTAACCACCATGCCACTTGCTGGCCCCTGTGTGCTTTGTTTCTTTGAGTGAATTGCTCCTACTGCATTTTTAAAAAGTTCTGAGTATCTATGTTTTATGTTATTCTAAGAGTATTTATAAATATCCTTAACTTTTAACTCTCAGTATATGATTATTCTCCTCCTTGTATTTATTGTTCAGTTTTCTGTATCTTGTGCTTGTTTAGCCCTGAACCAGGAACAACAGGTAAGAAAGCTTTTTTCTTGTAGTTTGGTATACTGCATAGCATTAGTATAAAAAAAGAGAACTAGTTGGAATAGAAAATAACTCCCTCCTGTTCACAGTGCCGTTTCCCTCAGAGTAGCCCAGCTCTCTTGTATTGATTGCATTAGTGGAGCTGACTGCAGCTGAAACCACCATCAGGTGTTGTTATTTTTCATATCCTTAAAATAGGATTTTGCTCACAAAGTGAGACTGCTAAAAGATACTCACTCAGTCTTTTCCCACCATTATGTAACGGAGCATATGCTTCAAACTGTTTGCAGTTCGTCCTAGCAATTACTCTTTCCAAACTCTGATTTGTAGAAGACTATGGGTCTGTGTCTTGGGGCAATAGAAAGTTCATTTTGTTATGCTTTTGAATCAAGTGCTTTTAAATTGTGTATAAAAATGAAGACTTCTTTGTGTTTTAGGATAGAAATAATACCTTTGTTGCAGTTAGGGGGTAAACCTTTGAAAAGTTTTAATAGTCTTATGAAGAATATTTATTTTAACTATGCCAAGTACTAAAAGTTACAGGCTCTAACTTCATCTTATTCAGGGATAATGCCTTTTTTTTAATTTAGTTTTTTTTTTTTTTTCCATGGGACATATGTACTTGCTGGAGAGACAGAGAAAGGGAAAGTGAGAAATCACTTCCCAGGGGGAATGGCCATACTGCCATCCCTTCTCCTCCATTCCCCTGAGATTTTGGGCACACAAGCACATGTGCCCAGCATGATTTTTAAGCCTCCAGGTCCCGGACCCAAACTGCATTCAGCCATGTGGGACTCTAAAGCTCCAACCACCACACCACCTGCTAGGCACAGTGATGACACATTTTTTTTCTCTTCTTTTTGAAAGGGATTTTTGCTCTAGGGCACATATGCTTGCTGGAGAGACACAGAAAGACAGAGAGAAAGAAAGCAAGAAGTCACTCCACCAGGGGTGATGGCCACCTTGCAATCCCTTCTCCCCGAGTCTTCTCTAGGGTTTTTGGGCATGCATGCACACATGCCTGGCATGAATTTCAAGTTTCTGGGTCCAGGACTTGAACCACAGTCAGCTACGTGGGAGTCTAGTGACGTAACCATTACTCCATCTGGTGGTCCCAACACATTTTAATGAGTATTTTAAATGCATTTTCTAGGGTCAGCTTCTGGAGGTCGGTTGGAACAATACAGCCAGTGCTCGAAATGACATCCAGAGAAATTTAAATTGCTGTGGATTCCGAAGTGTGAACCAAAATGAGACCTGTCTGGCTGTAAGTACAAAGTATAGATTTTTTGTTTGTTTGTTTGCTTTTTTTTTTTTTTTGCAAATGTATTACACACAGATGTAGAATGATGAACATGAGGCAAATCGACTTTCTGATGCAGAAATGCTGAATATTCCAGGACCCTCTCAGATACAGAGGTTTTTGGTATATTGCTCCTAATTCTTTTCCCTTCAACTCCTTCTGGAACAACTTTTAAAAGAAAAATAGTAGATTAGCCTTAGATGTTCAGAGGAGGTGTGTAAATATCTTGAGTTTTGAAGCTTATCATGGTGTTAGAAAGAGAGTAATCAAGTAATCAAGTCCCAGACTTGGCAGTTTAAAACTCACAATGGGTGCATGTGTGTGTGTGCCCAAGGTCCCAAGAGGAGAATGGAAGAGAAGGGCTTGCGGAATGGCCATCCCCCCTGGGAGTAATTTCTTACTTTCTGTCTTTCTGTCTCTGTCTCTTCCGTGAGCGCCCTATAGCAAAAATCTTTCTCTCAAAAAAAAAAAGAAGAAAGTAATCTATATTATCTTGGGCTTCTTAAGCAGCTGAAGACCTCCAGGGTGGAAGACATACAGAATTACCCTCCCTCCTCTCTTCTTTCTTACCCATCACAACTTCATATCCTTCTGTTTGGGAGCTGAGCTGTTGATGGAAAAGGTAGAATTGTCCTGGTGCCCCCGGCCCGACCTCTGACCTTCAAGCTCCAATCGGGATTCTATTGGGTTGTCTGTAAAGTCACGACACATTTTTGCATAGGAAAATAGGTCATCACTTTCCTAACAACCTAATATATTAAAATGGCCTCAGGACTTGGCTCTCTGGAACATTCACATGTGTCTGTATTTTGGGGGGAATTCCTATGACCACTTCTCGGAGCTCTTAGCTGGGTATTCCTTTGGTAAGGCCTCTTGTAGGGTTATTTCCTCATTGGGTTTTTTGTATATGCAGTTTTTTATAAAATGTTTTTTATAACTGTACTTAGAAATAAATTTTTTTTTAATTGATACAGAGCTGTGTTCAGAGTGGCCACTCGTGTTTACCATGTGCCCCAATAATAGGAGAATATGCCGGAGAGGTTTTGAGATTTGTGGGTGGCATCGGCCTCTTCTTCAGTTTTACAGAGGTATGTGCAAACAGCTCAATATTTTCCTCCTTTGTCACAGAGGTTCCTGTTTATAGGGCAAAAGGGCATGACATTTTACCTTAGCATGGTACTTAACTGTTGGAATGCATCAGTGGATATTTTCAATGAATACCAGCATTGTCAAAGGAGGAACCCTGGTGTGGAATCAGAAGCTCTCACTAATTTAGCTCTGGCTTTAGGACAGAGTGAAATGCTTGATGTGCTTCCTCTTATGTAAAATTAAATAAACTGTTAACATGAGATTAGCCTGAATTATCTCTAAGATGATTTCTATTTCTAGTTATATGGTAAATGATGACTTTAAATTTAATTTTGGAAAAAGTAGGACATACGAATTGTCCACTATGACTTCAAAAAGGGTGTGGAAAAATGGAATTAAAGTACATGTTTATTTTGGTGCAAAAACATAGAAATCCTTGTTTAACTTTTTCAGAATGCACATTTTCTGTGAACCTTATGAAGCTCTCCTTGTACACGTTAATGTGTAGCCTACACACACAGACACAGAGAAAGGTCCCCTTTGGAAGAAGTGCTTTCAGCACAGTCCTCCATTACCCTCTGATCCTAGCCTTCTAAAACCTATAGGTAACCACTGCGATTAATTGCTCACACATGCCATGCTAATATACATACTATATTAATACTAGTTAATACATTTTTATTTAATATATATGTCTACAAACAAACCCATATGCTTTTGTTTGTTTGTTTGTTTACCAGGGAGTGTCTGTGCTTTTCAGAGATACAGAGAAGGGAAGGAAAAAGCACTCCCATGGGGAATGGTCATATTATATATTAATCATATATTATATACAATATGAATAATTATATATTAATAATACTATATACATATAGTATTTTATTTATATATATAAATACTATATACATACATACGTGTATGTCTGTGCAAAATATACATATCTATATGTCATTTGTGTGTTTAATGACTATATAATATTCTTTATATGTATATAGTATTTATATATATAAATAAAATACTATATGTATATAGTATTATTAATATATAATTATTCATATTGTATATAATATATGATTAATATATAATATGTTATATAGGTAGGAATACATGTGTATATGTATAATATATTTTATTCTAATTCAGTTTTTTTTTTTTTTGAGAGGTTTTTGCTTATAGGGCGCATGCGCTTTCTAAAAAGACAGAGAGAGACAGAGAGACAGAAATCATCCCTCTGCGGGATGGCCACATTGCAATCCCTTCTCCTCTACTCTCCTTTTGGGATCTTGGGCACACACACACACGCGCCTGGCATGAGTTTAAGCCACTGGGTCTGGGACTCGAACTGTGATCAACTACATGGGATTCCAGCGATAGTCATTATGCTAACTGCTGGTCCTTCAATTCTTTTTTTAAAACGTTTTTTTGGAGAATTTGTTGTTGTTGTTGTTGTTGTTGTTATAGGGCACATGCGCTCACCAGAAAGGCAGAGAGAGACAGAGAGACAGAAAGCAAGAAATCGCTCCCCAGGGGGATGGCCATCCTTTGTCCTCCATTTTCCTCTCTATATCTTGGGCATACAAGTGGGCATGAGTTTAAGCCACTGGGTCTGGACTTGGACCATGGTCGACTACATGGAAGTCCAGTGACATAACCATTATGCCAACTGCTGGTCCCCAAATATTTACTTTTTAAAATGAAATTTCCCTGTTGTCCTTTTCTACTCTGTCTATTTTATCATTTAACTTTTTCTCAAGAAAGAGCTGTAAGAAAAGCTAATTGAAAATGCATATTAGGGAACCAGCAGTTAGAGTAATTGCTATGTTGCTGGACTCCCACGTAGTAGACTGCGGTTCACGTCCCGGACCCGGTGGCTTAAAACTCATGCCGGGCGCGTGTGCGTGCATGCCCAAGATCCCGAGAGGAGAATGGAGGAGAAGGGATTGCCGCGTGACCATCCCCTCTGGGGGGGTGATTTCTTGCTTTCTGTCTCTATGTCTCTCTCTGTCTGTTTGGCAAGTGTATGTGCCCTATAGCAAAAATCTCTCCAAAAAAAAAAGAAAGAGCTGTCTGATTTGTAGATTGATTGTGATCTTGATTCAAGAAAATTCAAATACAGTTTGTAAAGAATTCTGTACTTTTAAAAATTTTTTAATTTTGTTAGAGACATGTGGTCTCTCTGGAGAGAGAAGGTGAGGAAGCACTCACCATGGGGGATGGTCATGCTACAATCTCTTCTCCTCCATTTCTCCTTTTGGGATTCTGGGCATATATGCATATGTTTCCAGACCCAGAGTTTTTCAAGCCGCTGTGTCTGGAACTCTAACCACATATGGTCAGTCTTATGTGGTATAGTCACTTTAATCACCACACCACCAACTGACCCTCTCCTTTCTTTTCTTTAAAAAGCAAGAATTTTAATTACAAAAGCTTAAACACATAGGAGGGTAAGATTGGAATGAGGAATCTCTACTCATCACCAGTTTCAGCAGTTATAAAAACTTGACCACGTTGCTTCTTTCTATATCTAAACTTTATTTTGAGAATTTAGCTCTTTCTAGAGACCCGATTTTTCTTGTCAGATCACACTGCCATCAGTTATGCTATTTTTAAAAAGTATCAACTCTCTATAAATAAAAACTCATGAGTCTCGGATTTCTAGTGTGTTCTTCCATCGACTCCTGCTTGATTTTTTATGTGCTGTATCTTTTTTGAAACATAGCTAGACATTTTAATAAGAACTTATCCAACCTGATATTTTCTGGATAGTAGATATTAGGTAAACTCTCTTGCTAAGTTTGTATTTTGCTCAGTGTTTTGTAGACTCCCAGATTCTCTGAATAGATAGGAATGAGGCCGGTGAGTTGATTTCCTATCGTAGGTGAGCTAGAATGATATGGACTACTTACAATAACTGAAAAGAAATTTTGACCATAGAGAAATGTTGATTTAGAATATGAAAAAACGTTATGATTAATGCATACTAGTAGAAACTTGAGAAGATGCAATGATTACAAAGATGAAAAGTATTATCTACCAACTAAAATGACCTAATTAAAAATAGTAATATCTCTTGACATAGTTCCTTCTGCCTGTTCTGTGTTTAATAATACGAGTACAGACATCATGTATGCACTAAATCCTTTCTTTTTCTTTTCTTTTTAATTTATTATCATTATTATTTTCCAGTTTGATTAGAGATGGACAGAGAGAAAGAGAGAAAGTGAGAAAGCAAGCCACCAGGTCCGAGACTTGAACCATGGTCAGCCATGTGGGAGTCCAGCGCCTTTACCCACCATGCCACTTGCCGGCCCCACTAAATCCTTTCTCTTTCTTTTTCTTTCTTTTTTCTTTTTTTTTTTTAAAAAAAGAATTATTTATTTAATTAATTATTATTATTCACATGAATTATGTCAGAGAAAGGCAGAGAGAGTAAGAGAGGGAGAGTTAGAAAGCAAGCCGCCATGTCCAGGACTCAAATCGTGGTCAGCCATGTGGGAATTCCAGCACTTTAACCACCTCGCCACCTTCTGGTCCCATTTTCTTTTTTTTTTTTTTTTTTTGCCATAGGGTGCATGCACTTGCTGGAAAGAGACAGAGACAAACAGTGAAGAGAGAAAATGAGAAATCACCTCCCATGGACCACAGGTGCCAAAATCCCAGACCCCTTTCTTAGTGGTGTGGCCATACTATACAGACACACACACACACACACACACACCACACACACGCACACACACACACATGCGCCTGGTGTGATTTTCAAGCCACTGAGTCTGGTACTGAAATTATGGTCAGCCATGTGGGAGTCCAGTGCCTTAACCACTATGCCATCTGCTGTTCCCAGTCCTTTATTTTATTTTATTTTTTGGAGGGAAGGATTTTGCTATAGGGCACGTGCACTCACCAGAAAGACAGAGAGAGACAGCGAGACAGAGAGACAGAAAGCGAGAAATCACTCCCAGGGGGGATGACCATGCTGCAATCCCTTCTCCTCCATTCTCCTCTCAGGATCTTGGGCATGCACACACACGTGCCCAGCCAGAGTTTAAGCCATCAAGTTTGGGACTCGAACTGTGGTCAACTACATGGGAGTCCAGCGACATAGCCATTTTACTAGCTGCTGGTCCCGCCCAATCTTTTATTTTTCTATGCACACATCTCTATGTTATGAGCTCTGCTTTGGTGACCACTGCATACTGGCTATGAGTTCTAGAGTCAACAGAGTTGATAATCAAATCTAGGCAGTTATCCTTGAAAATCTCTGAATCTTGAGCACCTTTGTAAGTTTAAAATGCAACACTGATCTAATTTGCTCTTTTTGCATTTTGAGTGTGTCCTCTCTTTCCATCGCTCTCTTTA